TTGAAGAAACAAAGGATCTGGTATGACCAGAAAACTTCTAGTTTACTAACATTTGTGTGCCCTGAATTATAATCTACATATAGAATTCTTTCATTGTAAATAGTTATGCAATGATATTGAGCCATATAATTCTGATTCAATGGTTTTCTCAAGTGATGGCTTAAAAACAGGGAACAGAAATGACTACTATATAATATTAATTTCTGGTAGAATTTATTTATGTACATATATAGTAATAGACTATGTATAATGATATAATATATATAATAATATTCTTGCAAAGGTCTCAAATAGTGTTTTGCATATGATAAGCAGCCATGAAGTAATGATTAGCTACTTTTTTAACATACGTTTATTGAAAACCTAGTAAGTATACTATGAACAAACACATTCCTGAATGCTGTTGTCCTCTATTTGACCAAAGAATGATCAAGGAATGTTTTAAAGGAATACTTCTTACCATGAAAAAGCCATTACCATATGTGTTTGATGCATTTATAATCTCTAGATTTATGCAGACTTTTTTGCCTTAGCCTCAGGTAGGACAGGACAAATCCATACTTGCAGTGCTATAAGTGATGAAAATATTAAAATATTTTTTATCTGTGCTGTCCTCAATGGTGGTCATTATCTACATGTGGCTGCTGAGTACTTGGAATGTGACTAGTGCAACTGAGACTTGAATATTTTAATTTATTTTAATTTAAAAAGCTGTATGTGACTAGTAGCAACTGTATTGAAGTGACACTTCAGAGGGATTCAGGAAAAGACTTTGAGTTCCCACGGCAATACTTTCGATACATTTGACATGAACTTAATATTTCTTGTATATGGTGGCCTGGATCTAATTGAAAGAGATGTTTTCTTAGTATGAGGGAGAACTTTCTTTAGGTTAAAAAATTTAGGTGTGAACAGAAGCTCATTTTCCCAGCTCACTTGGGGAATAACAACTGAACTTGTTTACATCAAAAAAAATCTGCAAAACCATGTAGATGAAATTGCACAGTAAGTGATTTTTTTAATGACCCAAAAGAGTAAACAGTTTCCTTTATGCTTACTGTTTGAGTAACAGCCACTTACAAAAGATAGAAATAATAAAAATAAATGAAATAAATATATTTTATAGTAAATATTCAGAAAAATCTAGTGGTCATCTAAAGAAGCAGATGGGAGATTGTGGTTTGTGTAATCTATGGTCAGCCAACTCACTTCTCTCCATCATATTCAATATTTAGAGTCTCTAAGAAACATCATTTCTATCTAAAATATTTATATTTAACTGTGAATGCATACAATTAATTTGTTCATTCAAAAGTTATAAAAAGAATATATAAAGTGGAAAGTATATTTCTCTTCCCTGTTTGAATGACAGCCATCTAGTACTGCTGCTTAGAGATTGTGTTTCTATCAATTTTCTTTTTTTGTAAAATTTCAGAGGTACTTAATTTACTCCTTCAACATGTTTACTGAATATCTATTATATACTAGGAATTGTTTTAAGTACTGCTTTACAAAAGTGGAAATAAAAAGCAATTAAAAATTTCTTTAAAAATTACATTCTAATGGAAGGAAATAGGCAATAAACAAAATAAATAACAAAAACATGTGATGTATTAAGTAATGATAAATGCTATCAATTTTTAAAAAGATTTTAAAAGAGGTTAAGGTGTTAAAGGAGGAAAGGGAGTAAGAATTGCCTCAGCTTGGGAAGGAGTTTACATTTTAAATAAAATGAGCAGAGAAGGAACTTCAGAGCTTTATTTTCATCAAAGACATGAAGGAAATGAGGGATTGAGATATGTTTAGGCAGAGAACTGCATGTGCAAAGATCTTAAGGTAGGAGCTTGTCCAGTACCTTCCAGAAAAGCATCCTTACAATCTGGCTGGAGCAAGGATCACAAGACAGAGCCTTTTTATGCCAAGTAATTAATACACCATCTAATGATAGTTATAGTATTCTATGTTGTATGTTGTTTTTCCATCAAATATTTGCTGTCTTTAGGTTTTGAATAGGGCCTCTATGTCTCTGATTCCTGTCATCTCTATTAACTACACATTAACTTCAGATAACATAATTACATATTAGGGTGTGATTATTTCTCTTATGGAATGTATTATATAATACTTACAAAAATAGCTAAGCCAATTTCTGTTCCAGTGTTCTGTTCAAAGTCCAAGTTCAGTTTGTAATGTAAGATTCTGTCCTATATAAGACAGATTGTTTTGCACTGAATACAGTTTAATAAAAACTTACCAAATTTTAATTTACTTGATTATAATAACATTATTGCCATTATTTTTACAGAAAAATAAAAGTCTTATGGAAGAGGACATTTCACTAATTTAGTTTATTAATGAGGACATCAAAGTCTAGAATGAGGTAAAATGATTTGCCAAAGACACATAAATGAGGCTAGTTACAGCTAGCCTTAATGTGTTTGTAATATGTGATAGGCATTGTGCTGAATACTGGCACTATGTAATTTTAATCTTCCCAAAAATCTGAAAGGCAGCCATTATTACTGTTTTACTAGTGAGGAAACTGAGGGAAATAAGTTCTGTAAAGTAATGCAGCAGGTAAATGGTACAGCTGGGATCCTATCGAGGTCTTTATATCTCAGAAAGAACTCACATTGATAACTGCTACACTACTGGAGTTACAGGGACAGGAATATCCCATTAAAAACACAAGAAGCAGAGAGGTTTCTGGGAAAGAGAGCAAGTTTTCACTGTGATCAGAGCAAGTTTTCACTGTGATCAGATGTTGGATTGAATTTTGCCTCCACATAGCTGAATATTTTGGGGTAAGCAGTGTAACTTTCAGTATGTTTCTAGGTGTGAATATTGGGGGACCAAATTACAGTCCCATATTTACTTATCAGGACTTTGACTTTATCCAGTATAAAAGATAGAAGCCATAAAGCTTCCTAATTTAATTTGTGAGTACATTCTTATAGAGTAAATAAAAGAAGCTGTTCAGTTGAGATGAAAACCTTTATATGCCAAAAAAGAACATAGATTATTGTATTAAAAATAAGGCTCATAATTTAAAATGAAAGTTTGATGCAATGCCAATAGAAAATCCAAAGTGTCTGCTTATTTTAAGGTTAAAAGAGAATATTGAAATTATTAAAGTATTCATTAATTTGTCCCATGTTATCTGCTTGCTTATCACTTTTTTCCCCACATACATTTGAAATTTTACTTATATTCAATGAAGAAAGTCCATGTTATCAGCATGGATCATTATGTATCGATGTTGTAAGTGGCATTTAAAAAGTAACTGTTTTGTTTGCACATGCAGAGCTATAAACTGCCCAGTTAGGTTCATAATAGTCACTCAGTATTTATACTGCAAGTAATTTGATCTTTTTTTCAAATTTAAAATAAATTTACTTTTATGGGTAAAATAGCTTTGAATAGGCTACTAATCTGAATTTGTAACTGCTTTTATTGTGCTTACCAAGAAGCAAAGTTTCAGTTACATTGATTGCTGTATTTTGCCAAACATTTTTTTAACCTATTCTTTTGTATATGAAAATGATATGACTTGCCCACTATGAGTAGAAAAGCTTCAAGTCATTTTTACATTATTAGTAATGAATTTACAATAAGCATCCAACCTCCCACACCGAGACTTCTGGACAATCAGCTGAGATTACAAAGTGTAAACTGTGGCTAGGGATCAGAGATTACTCTGCATAAATTTAGTTTACCCTTATCGAGATTAAAAGCTCATTAATACTTCATTCTTTCCAACTGAGATAAAAGTTTGAAGCAATTAGTATTTGAAAAAATATTTTCTCCCATTAATTTATTTTTTCACTATGTAATCTGTGTTGGTTCCCTTTTAAGTATTGAGAGAGTGTAGTTTAAAATAGAAATCTATGGACTATATCTTAGGTTTTTGTTGTTGTTATTGTTTTGGGTTAGTGTTCCCTAACAACTTTCATTCCCTAACAGTTTATACAGCAACTTAAAGAACAGCAATGAAAAAGTAGCATCTAGGTTTTCATTTCATCTGCTTTCCAAATGAAGTGACCAAACTCTTCAATAGGATCTAGATTTTTCCAGCAAGGAGGAAGTGAGAAAACATTTTTAATCATTAAGACAAGAGAGTTTTGCCACTTCTCAGTGACACAGACATTGTGTACTAGCTGCTTTATCCTGAAGGCAGTTTATTAGTTACACAGATGTATTAGAAAGAGGGCTCCTGGCAGTGTTCAACATGGCTAGTGAATGAATAAGTGCAGTTTTTATGTACTTCACCAATGTGTCGTGTTATTCTTACCAATTATTATATGCTAGTAAAATGTAAATCTGTGTGATTATACAGCTTCTTTTATATCCAAAAATTATTCATAAAGAAAATATTCATGAATGGAAAGAGATGGTAAATATTGGTGGAAAATAGCCAAAGGTTTTTTGTTTTGGTTTAAAACTCTGACATAATTTGAAATTATGGTATATTACTCAGTCTTTTCATAATAATAGGAAGTTGACAAATGATACTGTGAATAGACAATCTGTAATGCTACAAACCAAATATTAGGGAGACTTTTGTATAATGAGTTAGAATCATTCTTTCATTAATATCCCTCCTTGGTAGTACATCAGCTATTTTGGCTCATTAATGAAATGTTGAGGATTTTCAAGTGATGGTGAAAAATGGAGTAAATCAAATTACAGTGGCCCTAAGACAGAATGTCTTTATAAGTGCTTTAGTAATACACTTCTAACACTAGTAAAATGGGAATTGAAAAAGTGATTAATTTGTAATTAAAGTTTTAGAAAGTAAAAGTTTTCAACTACTTTTGATATTCCTTTTCTTTAATAGTAGAGAATTGTAAAACATGTCAAGAAAATAACATATGAACTTTTTTTCTCAGTGATAATTTATTTTTTTTCCAGCTTTACTGAGGTACAATTGACAAATCAAATTGTATTATTTAAAGCATGGAACATGATGGTTTTATATACTTATTATGTATTGTGAAAGGAATCCATAGTTAACAATACCACCACCTCACATTTTATCTTTTTTAAAAATGAGAACCTTTTAAGTTCTACTCTTCTAGCAAATTTCAGTTAAATACAGTTGTCAGTTATAGTACCCATGTTATATGCTATGTCCTCAGACTTTATATATATACAGACTTTATTTATCTTAAGTTGGAAGAACTTGAGACAATTAATTAAATTGAGGGCAAACTGGTGACACCATGAAGATGCTTTGCTACTTCAGAAAAGTTGCTAAGATCTAAACTAAGCTTATTTTCATTATATAAGGAAGCAACCTCAGAGACAACACACTACCTTCTGCCTTGCTCTAAGTTAACTACAGTTCATGTCTCTCTAAGACAACCCTTAAATCCTTATTACTTCATCCCATTTTTGAGATATCCAGGGAGACATATAACCCCCAGCTCTTTCTATTGTGGCCCATGATTTCAATATATTAGTTTGGGAATCTCATTGATGTCAAATGTATCCTAATTCTGGTCTAAAATAAAATTAAGTTTTTAGCAATTGGAAAATCTATGATTTAGCCACAGCCCTGTGGCACAATTTAGAAGAAATTTCATAAGCTACAATTTATTGAAGCTAGACATTGACCTAAATGCCTTATGGGCACTGCATTAATTACTTCCTACAATAAGCTAACTTATCAGGTAAATAAATGCCAATATTTATCCAGTTTAGAGATGAGAAAATGGGTATTTTGAAAGGTTAGGTTATTTGCCTGAAGTTAAACTAGTTATCAGCAGCATTGAGATTAAAATATTATAAACTCTGCCTTATTGTAACTACTAATATCAAATTTACTGTTTGTTTGGTTTTTTTACAAACTATATTGTCCAAAATGTAATCTACATATTTTTAATGCAGAGGCTTGACTGTAGACTTACTTTAACACTGGAGCATTAAGTCCCCAAAGTTTGAATATTTTAAATAAAAGTATCTAGCATATGTATAGGGATTAACTGTGACCCACATAAACACATATAAAATAAAAGTTTAATCTGATTATTTGAAATAATTTTCTGCTTATTCTTTCCTTTTGAATAAAGTAGAATGTATACATAATATAGAGAAGAAAAAATACTTTAAAACTAGTAAATATTTTATATTAATTTACCTGAAAGAGTTACATTTTACTTCACAGCTTGTTGTCTTCACTTGTCTTCAAATAAACTGAAACTTGAAGTAAAAAATTTCACTATACCTACACATGGTAAGTACATGATAAATACTAATTACTCAGTTGATTACATAGGATCAATTAGAGTAAACATTGTGTGCCAAGTGACTACCCAGGGAATTCTAGAAATCAGTTAACATTTTTATGTAGTGCACAACACAAAGCTTTATTATGTGTTACTGTATCACTATACCTTGGGTTATTTATTGTGCAAATCACTAGGGTTGCAAAAATAAAAATACACAAGAATCTCAAATATAACAAGAGTTGCAACCAAGCAAATCAACTCACAAAATTATGTATGAGATTCAGAGGGATGATCTTGAAGGCAGTGAAGGATATTAAAAACCTCATAGAGGAGATAATGCCGTACCAAATTCCTACTCACCCTGGAAACCACACTGGTTTTGAGGTTGAGTAGGAATTTGACAAGGCCATATGCAATTGAAAGTTATGTGTGTGTGTGTATATATATATACATTGTGTGTGTATATATATGTATATGTGTGTGTGTATATATATACAAAATGACTGTGTGTATGTGTAAAGTTATGTTGGGGGCTGGAACATTGTGGTAGGCAGAATAATGACCTCCCAAGATATCCAGGTCCTGGATCCTGGAACCTGTGAATGATACCTTATAGAGCAAACAGCACTCTGAGGATGAGATTAAATTAAAGATCCTGAGATGGTAGAAGTTACCCTGGAACACCCTCATGAGCCTACCTGTGATCACAAGTGTCCTGGTAAAAGGGAGGCAGAGTGAGATTTGACTACAAGAGAAGAGGTGATGTGATGAGGAAAGCAGAAACTGCAAGATGTGTTTTGAAGGTGGAGAAAGAGCACAAGCCAAAGAACATAGGCCACTGGAAGCTGAAAAAGGCAAGGTGATTGGATTTTCCTCTCAGCCTTCAAAAGGAAGCATCCTCGCTGATAATTTGATGTCAGCTCATGTATTTGATGATTTCAGACTTCAGACTTCCAGAACTATAAGATAATGAATGTATAATTTATTAATACCAATAAGTTTGTGGTAGTTTGTTACAGTGGCAATAGAAAACTAATACAAGCATGAGTTCTCACCCTGAAAATCCTCACCTGAATCACAAACCTGACTCCAAAGAGCATGTCACTGTGGTTATTATTCATGAGTAGTAAGGTTATTAATCTCCATTTGAATAAAAATAAGGAGCCAGACTTGTTTGTATGAAACCAGAAGGCATTCTAAAATTCGTATTTTTCTACTTCATATTTCTTAGATAAGGAGATTCTTTGATCAAAAGGCTAACAAAAATGACAGTTTTCTGTAAGTTTTATTCATATACAAAATTTAATTTTAGTAGACACTGCTTTTGAGCTAAATATAGCCTTTCTTACTAACCATAAATCACACCAAATTGAGCTGCTATAAAATATTAAAACAATCTTAATTAATTTTCTCTAAGGATGTAAAAATGAGATATTTCTTTTCACTTATTTATTTATTTATTTTTGGTGCATAGTCAGTTTATAGTGTTGCATCAGCCTCTGGTGCACAGCATAATGCCTCAGTCATACATATACATACTTGTATTCCCTTTCATATTCTTTTTCATTCTAGGTTACTACAAGATATTGAATATATTTCCTTGTGTCCTTTTCCCATTTTTAACATATTTATTACAACAAACCTTATATTTCCATGTATAAAGGACTTAGATCTTGTTTCCAGTGTTGAATCATGGAATTCTAAAGAGCCAGACACTTCTCAACAGCATTTCCTCACCTCACCAATGACTTGGGCAGGAGCAGATCAGGGTCAGTTCAGGATATGTGGTGATTCTCCTGGAGATTTCACTGTTTTTTCCATCAAGGCCCTCTTGATGCACAAGCACTGGCTATATGACTTCAGTAAGTGCCTCCTTTCTTAAGATATTTAAACATACTTTACTGAATTAGAGACTACTGATAGGTCCCAATAGAGTGGGTGGTGAATTAAGAGCAGCTCTCTTTGGCTTTCAAGAAAGTTTTATAAAGATGTTTGATTTCCTTCTCTGACTTACTTTCTGGTTAGATGATACACTCTGAATGATGATGATTCTGTCCCTGCCTATGATGGGGACAGTTGGCTGCTAGTGTGTTGTAATGGCTGCTGAAAGCTGGTGTTATAGATTCTCTTCAGATCCAGGATTTGTCACTAACTATTCATGTAAATTTGGGCAAAAATTATATTTTGTGTACATCAGTTTTGTCATTTGTAAGTGGGGATGGTAGTACTTATGCATGAGTAGTTTAGAGGTTTATGAAACTTAGTGAAAATAAAGTGCTTAACACAAAACCTAAGTTAACAGCAGGCATTTAGTAAGTAACAGCTATACAAATTATTATATAATGATATGTGCATTATATGTTATATAAAATTATATAATTCTAGAGATGTATGGAAATGTAGGCCTGTCAAGTTAATCATGGAGGAAGCCTCTTTTATTTCTCACTATATTTTTTAATCTTCTAAGCCCAACACGTGGTGTACCTAAGGACAGAAACATTGTAAAACTTATTATGATTGCATCAGCTGACTATTTGGATTCTACTTTCACAGCATATAATACAGTATTCTGATATCCCACCTTTTTAATGCAAAGCTTGGGAATGATTTTAGCAGTTAAAAAAGAGAAAAAGAAAAGGCAGGACATGTGCTAACATCTTTAGGTTCTTGTATCATTGACTGAAGTCTACAGATAATTGAGTACAGTCTTTGTGCCAGAAAAGGTTGCAGGCACTAATATCATGCTGAGTGTTTTGTGAATTAAGTCACCATCACTTGAAATTAAAATCTTTTAATGTAATAGTACAGACTGGCCTACCATCATTAACAGTTACTAAGGAAATTTACAATCCACCCACATGAAAGACAGAAGAAAATACTATTGAGCACTTACAATGAGCTATGCATTTTCATTTATAATATCTCAACTAACTTATTTGTTAAAAACTGTAATGTTATATTTTATACATTAGATGAAGTAACAGAAAATCATAGAAGTTAATGAACTTTTCCAAAATTGGACACATAAATGAATAGTGTACCTGGAATTCTTCCCAATATAATATTTCAAGTTTTAGGCATTAAAACATTAACATAACCAAACTAAAATATGAATTTGTTATTTTTCATTTTACATTCATAAAATGCTTGTACCCAATTCATGACTGTTAGAAAATAAAATCAAGTAGTTGGATATTAGAGGTAGAAAATGTTTTGCAGGGAGAGAATATATCATATCTCTTTTCTTTTTCTCCTTTTTTGTAGCTTCTGATAAGAGGAATTAGGAAAACAGGATTTTAAGGTGTTTATCAGATTTCTAAATGATATCTTATGTCTCAAGAAATAACAAAGACTTAGAAGTTGTAGAATGTGTTAATAAATACAAATGCATCATAATTAGTAGTGTAAGAAAATCATGCTCCTGATGTCACATATTATGAGGGTGATTGAGTTTTTCTTGGAGTTATATAGTCTATTTAGAGATTTATGTTATAAGACACAAATTTTTAGTTTCAGTTCTTCTACTAACTCCAACTTGGTGACTTAGAAAATAGACATATACATAGATAGATAGATAGACACACTAGCCTCCTCCTCGATTAGATAGACAGGTAGACAGATAGACACACTACCCTCCTCCATTAGATAGAGACATATATAGATAGTCACACCAGCCTCCTCCTTCTCCTCTATTAGATATATAAATAGATAGATACACAGATAAACAGATAGAGAAACACACTAGGCTCCTTCTCCTCCTCCATTAGATAGCTAGACAGACAGACTAACTTCCTCCTCTTCCTCTGTTAGTTACAAAGACAGACAGACACAGACAGACACACTGGCCTCCTCCTCCTCAATTAGGTAGGTAGATAGATAGGATAGACAGATGATAGAGACATACACACATACAAACAGAAAGACAAAAGAGCCTCCTCCTCCTCAGACAGATAGAAAGACATCGCACACACTAGCCACCTCCTCCTCCTCAATTAGGTGAAAAACAGACATACTAGCCTCCTCTTCCTGTATTAGATAGATATAAAACAGAAAGACACACTAGCCTGCTCCTCCTCCTCAGTTAGGTAGATAGATAGACACATTAGCCTCCTCCTCTATTAAGAGCTAAACTGATGCATAGATAGGCTGAAAGACAGATAGACACTAGCCTCCTCCTTCTCCATTAGATCGATAGACATACAGATAGACAGACAGATAGGCAGACAGACTGACACACACTAGCCTCCTCCTCCTCCATTAGATATACAGACATGCTAGCCTCCTCCTCCTCCATTAGGTAGGTAGACAGATAGACAGACAGAAAGACAGACTAGCCTTCTGTTCCATTAGATAGACACATATATAGATAGATAGACACACTAGCCTCCTCCTCCTCCATTGCTGGGTCCTGTGGTAGTTCTAGTTTTAGTTTTTTGAAGAACTTCCATACTGTTTTATAGTGGCTGTACCAGTTTACATTCCTATCAACAATGTACTAGGGTTCCCTTTTCTCTGTATCCTTGCCAACATTTGTAATCTGTAGACATTTTGATGATGGCCATTCTGACAGGTGTGATGTAGTATCTCATTGTGGTTTTGATTTGTATTTTTCTGATGATTAGCAAAGTTGAATATCTTTTTAGGAGCCTGTTAAACATCTGTTTATCTTCTTTGGAAAAATATCTATTCAGATCTTCTGCCCATTTTTTAATCAGTTTTTTTATATTGTTGGGTAATACATTCTTATAAGTACCACAAAGCCCAATACACAGAAATTTGCCAGCTCTCCCAGAAACTCCTCCATGTGCTCTGACTCAGTCATAGCCCCTTCCCTTCCTTTAAGTAAGTCCTTTCCTCTAAGTTACTGTTACAGAAATCACTTCCTTTTGTTTATGATTCTCTTACCCAAGTATGTCTCCCTAGGTACTAGTGTTTAATCCTGACCATTTACAAAGAGAGTTGCTGTTCCTTGTAAGTCTGTTTTGGTCTACAGATTTATTTTTCATACCTTCCTTGAAATATACCTGTTTGACCTGTTTTCCATAGTCTGGATTTGACTGATTGTATACAGGTGGCACAGTTTAGCCTTTTTACTTCCTCAAACTGGCTACTGGATCCAGAGGCATGATTAGGCTTGATTTGATCCTCTGTCAGATTGTGGTGTGTTATTTCATAAAGAGTCACCTAGTGTCTCATCTCCTTTTTATGATGTTTGCAGCTATTGATATTTGATGCCTACATTCATTAATTTATTGGAGGTTGAAAAGTGTTATTAGCCTTTGAATTCTCTCATTTCTTTTTCATTTACTAACAGAAGTAATTTTATAAAGAGATGCTTTCCCTTATTTGCTATTTGATTCCTTAGTGCTACAATACAATTCACTTAGGAAAATTAGTAATGGTGTATTATTCCAGCATTCACTAGTTTAGCTATTAGGGCCATATTTGAAAGCCAAAACCCTAAGAACTGTTGATGATAATTAAGCAGCTGTAATTTAAAATTTTTTTTAATGGGAAAAATAAAAATTTGTCAAGCATATCAAGAGTACAGATTTTTCCAAATAACATAACAGCAATTATTAAACTTGGCTGTCTTATACAAAAGCCCTTCAGAGGTAGAGCTTGTAAATGCTATTCTTACCATTGGTATTTTTACACAGTAGAAACTATACAGCAATAAGAATGCATAACAACAAGTTATGCATCTTAAATACATACAGTTTTAAATTGGCTACTTACACATCAGTAAGGGGGGAATGTTCTTTTTTGTTAATTTTTCAGGTCCTTTGTCTTTCCCACATAAATGTACTTTAGAATGGTATATAAGCATAGATATATGTTGAGGTAAGCCTACTTTTGTATGTAAGAAGAAAATTATGCTTGTCTTAGATATATGGGTATGTAGTTTTTATATGTAAATATTTATCTTTCTTTCATACAGATTACATATGATGTAGATGTTTTATTAACATAATCATACAGACTTCTCTATATTCCTAATATGTTTTTCTTCTGTGTTATTCCAGTAGTGCTGCTTGGCTCATTAGACTCTGTTGCAGAGGTCAGCCTTGATGAGCAGGATAAAGCAACAGCTAAGCCAAAGGCCCTGCCAGGTGTGACTGATAATGAAATGACAGGGATGGGTGAAAGTGAAAAACTAGCTGTTCTCTAAGTATGTAAGTGTCTGTGACTAGTTGACTTCATTTCTAGGGAAATACATATAATACATAATAATATATATAATAACTATCAACAATAAAACTATACATTTCATATTTTCTCCCTCATTCTGTGTAAATAATCTCAACTTGCTAATGGCGACACTTAATGCTAGCAGTCTCAGTGAAGTGTGTTTTTAAATAAATACTTTTTAAAAAATGAATGAATGCTGTTGGTAAGAAGTATAGCACTGTAGATGAATATTAACTAATTTTCTGTGCCCCCAGAATATTCAGTTAAATTTGCCATGTGTAGGACAATTGAGACTTTGGTTTTGGGCTTTTCCATAGTTCTCTCTGTATAGGAAAAAGCTAACTCACATACCCAAATTCTGAAATGTCTAGGACCATCCAGACTTCATGAATGGTTGTAAAGGTCTTTAAGAAAATGCCTTTTCAGACTTTTTTTTTTAAAGCAGTGGAACCCTTATCTCCAAATGGAATCTTAGCTAGTACTCTCTTTACAGATAAAAATGATATTTTATCAGTATAAATATAAATGTTTACATTTATGACATTTACTTAAAAAATTAGTGATAGCAATTAAAACAGACCACTACTGTTAAAATTGGGAGTTATAGATATTTGTTATATTCTTGTATCATCAGACTTCCAATATGTTTATATATTTTGTTTTTGTTGTATAATACAAAAATATTCTTGGTTGATCCCTTAAATAGGTGCAAATGAGAACTTTTCAACTTTCTTTGCAAGTCCCAGACTCTTGAAAAAAACCAACCCAGACTCTTGAAAAAAAGATCAATAGAAGTGATAAATCACTAGCTAACTCTGAACATCTGCTTGCATTTTATTTTTATTTTATTATTTTTTTAATTCTTTGGTCAAACTATAGCATGCTTGTAGAAGAATTCATGTATCATCATAGTGCAGATGATGAATTTTCAAATACTAAATACAGCCATGTAACCAGCAACCAGATCATGAAAACCAAAACATGATCAAAAGCACAAAGTCCACACAGATCTCTTATTTCTAGTCACTGCCATTCCAAGAATCACCATCTAGTTTTATCCACTTCCATTTTAAAATGTAAATTACATTTTAAAAGTTAATAAATTACAGCAGAAATTTTCCATCAAGACACATCAGTCACTTACTTGTTATCACCCAATTGAGTATTCTGCCTTGATGAAAATGTGTACTGGGCAAGTGCTCCTCAGTCTCACCACTGCTTAAGTACATGACACATATGTTCTATGATAGTCCACTTACACTGTTCTCAGTGAGCAGATATGAGTTCTTGTAAAAGACAAATATAGAGCTACAGCTTTTCTAGTCAGTGACCCATTATGGTAGATTCATGTATGCACAAGATGGCCAGAGGAACTTGATTCTGTGATGTGCATGAAAACAAAGCTGGAGACCAAGTTACCATGCTGGTGGTCTTCAAAATATTAGTTACATAAAAGGCACATCTGAGTGTGCAGATTACTTTCTATTACAGTTTTTATGTTTTAAAATGAAATTCCAATCAAATATCTGTGGACCCCATGATTTTCTCTGAAAACTATCATTTTGTTAAACTCAATATGAAAACCACTGCTATAGATTATAAGAAAAACTCAGAAATAAAAATGCTATTACTGAATTTGTGAGTTCAAGATTTGAAGGTACTAACTACTATGTATAAAATAAATAAACAACAAATTTCTACTGTATAGCACAGGGAACAGTATTCAATATCTTGTAGTAGCCTATAATGAAAGAGAATATGAAAATGAATATATGTATTATGTGTATGACCGAAACATGCTGTAGACCAGAAATTGACACAGCATTGTAAAATGACTATACTTCAATTTTTAAAAAAGTCAAAAAAAAGTATTACTGAAAGGAAAAGTCTATTATGATGATCTGAGCAGCCATATAATGCTAATTTTTAACCTTATTTCTTAAATGTTCTTGATTCTGAAACAATTTGATGAGTCACTTACTAGAAGAGTGTACAGTATGAGTTTATTGTCTTGTGGCCTTGTATTTGTATTCCCAGCCTTGCCAGTTAGCAGCTGGGTGACACTGGACAATTAATGCCTCTAAGCCTAATTCCTCTTCTCTAAAATGAGATCGTGGGATGATCAGCTGCAATAAGGTATAGTGCCTAGTATATTGCTGAGATTCAACAAGCAGTGCCAGCTGTGTGGTTCTCATTATGTGCATCAACCTCTATTAATAGTACAGATTATGTCAAAGAACCTGAAGGCATGCATATAAATTCCTATTGGCTGTGACCTGTTAAATTTACCTAGTATTTCAAAAATACACTTGAAAAATCTTCAAATCAGTATATGAACTTAGTTTAAAAACTGAAAAGATCAGCGGGTTTTTTTTTTAATGATTTGTCTTCTGGGATTAAGCAGGCTTGGTTTAGATGATATGTTGTCAAAGATTATCTTTATTAATATGACTCATGAAATTCCTTGTGCTTTATTGTCTTTAAAAAGTTGATGACTATAAAATGAGGGCCAGATCTAGCCTTTGGCTTGTTTTCATCTGTCTCATGGGCAGGTGCTGTTTTGTGCTGCGGCCATGTGACTGGTGCAGTCACTGGATGCGACAGTATTCTACACATTGGGACCCTTACCACTGCACGGTAGAATTTGACACTTCTCAACTTGTAAATGGGAAAAAAGATAAGCAGCTTTTGACCTGTAATAATACACGAAATAATGACACAGTATTTTCTCTTTCTAATGTAAAAGGTGAGAAGTCAGCCCTTTATTTTTCTCTCTATAAAATACATGAATAGAGATAACATACATGACCCTGAGATTATTTTTAATACAGGTTAATGACTCAAATTAGGAGAAACATACCTTTCTTCTGCTCAGTTGTCTGAGCAGTCCCTGATGCCTGTCTGCCTTCCATTTCTAATTTCTGACTTTTTGGTCATTTGCTTTTCTGCATGTTTGCTCTGCTGTTCCTTTATGCTAGAACCTCTTCTTTCTGACACCTCTCACCTGTTAAATTAGGTTGAGTGTTCAGTACTGCTGTGCTAGTTACCATTGGGATCATTTATTTTATCCATACTAAGTGATACTTACACCCCCTGGTATTTCTGTAGAGGAGAAAAAACACATTGTGTCTTTTTCTTTTGTTCATAAAATCAGTTCTGTCCTTCAGTCAGGCTACTCTGAGTCTGATCAAGTATGTAGGGACAGGCAAGATCTTTTCCCTAGAGTCCTACTGAATATCCCTGCCACTTAATTAGTGATTCTGCTCTGATGATATACCCTACTTTTTTGTTTTTAATTTATTTAAGCAACTCTATTCCTTTTTGGGCATGCTTCAAATAGCAGTGGTGACCTTGTTACTGAGTCCAAACCCATTCTGCTCACTGCAAAATAGGCCAGTAAATCTGGAGACAAGGTGTTGGGGCAATAAAAAGTGATTTTATTCAGAAAGCCTGCAGACCAAGAGGATGGCCAACTAATACCTTGGAGAACCATCCTTCTCCAGTCAGAATACAGACTCCTTTTATACAACAACAATAACAGCAGCAACAACAACAACAACAAAATCACAGGGGAGAGGTGTGGTTCATTGTTGCAAACTTCTTGCTGCAGGAATTCTTTGTTCTTCAAGCCATCCATGTGTGTCCCTGTAACACCTTCAACAAAACGAAGGTTATTCTCTATTTTGCAACTTGCCATCTCTACATAAGTGTGGAAGTGCTAACATCTTTAAAGGTCAGAGCCCCAAGAATAGGCTCTCCTGTAGATTTCAGTCTAAAGGCAACATTGTTTCACAAAAGGTGCAGAGCTGGCAAGACTAAGCCTAGAAAACAGATCACAGTGGTTAAAACTAAAGGAACAGATCCAACATGGCATCAGATTTGTTCTCCTCTATTACAACCTGAAGCATTAGATAGAAAGATAGCCCATTGTAAGGCATTCTTACACAGTCACATGTACGGCTTGTCTACATCTTAAGTTTAGAGTTGAAAATAGTCCCTCAGAATTTTATACTATGCAACTCACAGATTATGTAGAGGAAGAGGAGGCTGTATATACTGTCTTATTTTTAGGTATTAATTACTTAGTCTTGGATATCAGGAGAAAAGGAGACTGGTCTCCCTGCTTCTCTTCTTTTTTTCCACTCTTCTATGACACTTTTAGTCTTTTCTCTAACTTTGAAAATTCCAGTGTTATTAATGAAAGGTAAAAAATGAGTTAAGAAAAGACTTATCAAAATCTTAGATCATTATTGTCATTAGGTCCTTTGAATTCTTTTTTCCAGAGCTTATTTCTTGGTGGGAAGGGGAGGAGTTTAATAGGGATGGAAGAGTGAACAGTGACATCAGGTTTTCTCTTGTGGGTGACTGGGTGAGTAATCATGCCATGGCTAAAACATCAGATCCTGGGAGTAGAACTGGTTTTGTTGGGGAATATAATTAATTCATTTGAGGTTGTGTTAGATGTGATTTATTTATAGAACAGTCTGAATGTCTATTTGGAAATTTAATATTCAGAAAAGAATTAAGGACAAAAGACATAGATTTGTAAGTCACAGGCATATGGGTAATAATTAAGTGAAAAGTCTTGATTAAATTATCCACCCTTCCTCCCTAAAAAGAGTTTTTAAAAAAGAGGGCTAAAGATGGAGTCCTGAGATGAATAATGTACCATAAAAGATGGAGAAGTATCCATCAGAGTGGTGGGGAGAGGAAGGCACTGTATGGAAGAAACAGTTCCCAGGGAGAGGGTCATGTTAGATGTCTCAGAGGGTGAAGAAAGTTAAAAAAGGTAAAGAAATTTAAAGTCTGGATTTGGTCACTAGGAAATTACTTTTTTGTTATAGCAGCTTTAACACAGGATATTGGAACACATATTGGGTGGCAAAGTTAGAGGATTGAATTTTAGTGGAAGAAACACAGAAGATGAGATGCCTGGTGGCATCGGGAGGCAAATAGAGAGAGGCAGAGGAGGGAGAGAATCCTTACAAAATTATGTCAGTTTGAGAAATTTAGGAGTAGTTTTATCCAGTGCAGAGATTGGTTATGGGTGGTAGGAAGAGACAGTAACTAGTGGAGTGAGATTTTACAACGACCACATCAGGACGCATCTCTGCCTGCTGACAGGGGTTACAGAGCCCGCTGTGATTTCATGCTGGTGGGCTGTGCCACGTACTAGCAAGTTTATATTTCACCCTGCCTTTATCACATCATATTTCCACAGCCTTGTCCACCATTTCCGGTAGATTAAGGGGTGACGTTAGTGTTTTATATTTTCATGTATTTGTGTGGTCATGCTAGAGATTACATTTATTTCAACTGATGTTTCTTACAGACAGAGCAGCAGTGATATTGAAGCTTTACCTTAGACGTATTGTCATGTAGCCATTTCTTGGGAAGATGCAGATGAACAAGGAACTGAGAGTGATGCAGGGGGAAATACCAAGAGCTCAGTGAAAGAGCATCCTCAAGAAGATGAAGGGTCCTCTAAAAACATCTCTACCATGGAATGTGGTAAAAGCTGCTTCCTTTGAGACTCTCTGAACAGTTTCCAGTGTGGTGTAATTTAAATTCAATTTACTGTAGTGATTGTTTCTCAATCTGAATTTATAGGGTTTGTTTAAATGTAATCTGGGAATTATTGGTTTAACTATAAAGTTAGAGCTGAACATAGGGTAAAATTTCAGTTCCTCCTATAATGTGTCTTCCCAAATTAAGAAATCACTTAAGTATTTTCACATTATTTATGCTTTTCCATGAACATTTGCTAAAGTTATTTTTTAAATAGAGAACAGTATTTGGGATCAACTAAATACATATTTAGCGTGTGTGTGTGTGTGTGTGTGTACGTGTACGTACACCCATATTCATATATTTGATGTGTGTGTGGGGGGAGAGAAAATATATAAATATATAATTCAAATACCTAAGAAGATTTTCTCATACAAGCAAGTTTACAGTGGGAAACTGGGATTATTATATGTGCCATTTTATTAACTGTGTCAATCAGAGACAGTGTAATTTTGGTGGTAATAGATGTTAAATTAAGCAATTTACATAACATTTTTGGTTGCTGTTTTGACTTTTCTTCCCTCTTAGATCTGCCCACAGTAGAGAAGCTGATGAAGCCTGTCAGAATAGATTCCTTTGGGTTGGTGGTTTTGATTTATAACCTGTCAGGTAAGAGTTTTTTGGAATGGATTGTGCAGGGTGTTTATTTCTTTGTTGTTTTGTCACTGGAAACTTTTGGCATCATTTGTTCTGTGTAGCTACCCCTAGTGAATGATTAACGGATAACTAGTATGAGTCTATCTGTGAGACACTCCTCTCTTCCTAGTCTTTATCAACTAGTTTATCAAAATTCTTCTAGTGCTAACATTTTTTAAAAAATAGATGCTACTAAAATTTTTTGTACAATTAGGTAGATAATCTTAAAGCTTTTCACTGGAAAAAGAAAATCTCATCAGCTTTAATAGCTCAGGGACAGTTGATTCAAATGGTAAGAGAGAACATGGATTTTATTCTGTGTATGAGTCATCCATTTGCTTCTTTTTAAACCGGTTAGTTTTGCACTTAGTCACAGACCAGCCATCATCTCCTAGGGTGAGTTCTTTGGTCACAGGATAAACAGGCTTTTTGAAAATGTTCCAGTTCCAGTAGCTTTTAATGGAAGCTTGTGGGACTTTGCTGTCATTCACCAGCACAGGGTACCATGTCACAGTAACCTTGTCGTAAGACAAGTGTCACATCCATTATCTCATGAGATCTGCATAATAAGTAGGTCAGGCATCTTTATCCCCATCATTCAAGTGATGAGACTGAGGTGAACCAACTTAGTGGTGGGGCTCTCACAAGAACCAGATGATGACACTAACATTTTTACCCCTCGCTTACTGTGGGCTTGATACTGTGCTAGGTTCTTTACATATTAGATTTCATTTAATCTTACAGCAGCCCCATGAGGTATATATATTCCATTATCACCCCCATTTCATAGATGAGAAACCTAGGCTTAAAGAGGTAAAATAAATTGTTCAAGATCACATGGCCATAACCCAGCAATGCACTTGGATTGTCAGGTTGATCTCTGTGAAATATTTCTGTGAAAAGCCTTGTCATCCATTCTTGTATTATTTGTTCATTTGTGTTTTCAACAGACAAGTTTTTGAGCCCCTCCTTGAACCCCAGACTCATCATGAAATCCACGTGCAGTGATTTCCTGGCCTTCTTTGTATTGAGTGTGCTAGTTGAGAGAAAGGGATGTGCTATAGCTTACCCTAAACCCTGTCTACTTACCGCTAAGTCTAGTGTTCTCCCCTGGTCTGCAGTGCTAGTTAGTGTTTTTATGGGGCTGATTGGGCTCCCTTATCATTGCTGTTTGCAGCTACACTTGGGTCACTGAAGGGATTTTTCTACACATCTTGTGTCTATGTTGGCATAACTGACACAATTTTAATAATGTGAATTCTAAATAGAGATGTTTACATTTGTGTTAAAAGCTGAAAACAAATATACTTACATTAAAGGCATAACAATAATTATAGGAATGTCAGTAGTAGAAAGTTAAATATACATATCCAAAACCTCTTTAGTAAACCATAGGATAAGTAATCCTAGCTGCTGTAACAAACAATCCTTAAAATGTTAGTAGTTTAACATCATCAATTATTTATGTCTTGCTCACATCATAATTCCAAGTGTCTCAGTGGAGTTGGGGGTGGGACTCTTCTCCACATAGTCATTTAGGGACCCAGGTGGCTTTCTGTCATTAACACATGGTTTTGAGGTCCTCCTGGCCTCATCAGTCAATAAGGAAAGGAAATAGATGGTTATCATGCTTCCTTTTAACTGCCTAATCACAGGAGTGTTACCTCTCTTCAGCCCACATTGTGTTGGTAAGAACCAGCACATCCAGCTAAACTAAGTCCAAGAGGGATAGGAATTGTGGATTTCTCATATGGCCAGAAAAAAATGTAAATGCATTTGGTAGGCATCTAGCCAGTCTCCACCAGAAACTTCCTTTCTAACAGCCAAATATCCATTCCACTCTTCCTTGAATGAAGACCTACTCAGCCCCTCCCCAAAGCAAACAGCCCAGAGTCCCACTCAGAAATGTATCCATTTGAAAGGCCAGGATTTCCAGGAGAAACACGGTTCTCTTTGTCAGGTTTCAGTGTAGCTCCTCATTGTCTACTAATCAGTGAATTAAAAGACAAGTTTCGTCCTTCCTTCCCCACCCCAATATGGTGGTGAGATGAAGATTACTCCTAATCAGAAAGGAGAAGAGTGAGGAAGCTACAGCAATCAGTAGTGCAGCTTTGAGATCCACTGAAAGGTTTATGAAGACCCCCTACTTTCAAGTTGGGCATTGTCCTTAATTAGGCCATTATTCTGCTCTAAAGAAAGAACTACTTCATAAATATATTGTTCTGTGTAGCTCCTGGTTCCAGTGATCTTGTGTTTCTTCACCACTGGCTTCAACTGAAGTGGGTAATGGGAGCAGGGGGTGCCCATCTTTGAGAATGCACTCTTTCTCCACCCCCTTTCTGCCTGTAAGTAGGTGGTTCTAAGGCTGCTAGACAAGTCTCTAGCTTTTTTTTTTAAAGTAGAGTTGTGATTTCTTTGTCATCTTTGTCATTACTGCTGCTTCAGAAAGTTTTTTAGGCTTCTGATCAATTTGGATCCAGTCAGTCCCATGTGCTAGTAACTACATTTAAAGAAAATTAGTTTGTTTTTTTTCTCAGTTTAATTGCAGCTGTCTGGTTATTATGAGGAGCAATAATCTTAAGTTTGAAGATGACACCTCTAATGTGATATTTGCCAAGGAACTGAGTCACTCTTCAACAAAGAATTCTCATGAAATCTTGCTTTTTCACAGTATTTTTCAGTGCTGAATCTTACTGTTTGAGTCCAGATGCAGAGAGTGAACCTAAGAGGCCCTGAGTTTCTAGACTCTGTTCCCTTGCTTTCCTTCTTTAAAGGCCAGCCCATTCTGTCTTGAGCTCATCTTTTTCCCATAGTATCTTGTCAGCAGTAGCCAGTAGTAGTGGGCACTTCAACACTTCCTGTCCTCTCCTACCGTTCTCAGACTCTGCTGAGGGCCCCAGGCTCAGGAGCCAGTGGTCAGCCTTATAAACTACTGTAGGTGACAGCTTAGCAAATGTTTTGTCACTTTTCATAAAATGTGAGTTTTCTCCCTCTCCAGCCTCTAGTATCAGTTTCCTTGTCACCAGAACTGAACCACTAAGCCCATGACACATATTTAGCTTCTGGTCACCGTTGCCTGACATTCTAAAGGCTGGAACTGGTGATGGTCCTGTGTAGACTGGAGGTGGAGTGGAATGCAGTTCAGCTGGTGCACGGCACACATGGGGAGCAGTGTTAGTGAGTGGCTGGCTGGGTCCTGCTGCCACGAAGAAGACCTCTTAGGTTTTCTGATGATTCCAGCTATTTCTCATTGTTATTTCTAGCAATTACTGAGAAGCCAATCTACCTCATATGAATTGGTAGCCTCTTAAACTTTTCTTTAATCTTATTTTATAAATTACAAAATTAAGTGAACTAACTGACCATGATTAAGGTAATTTGAAAATGACAATATCCATGTTTTTGGAGCTCCCATAATATGCTGATGTTCACCCATATTTATAACATCTCCTTAAAGGATATTTCTCATATTTTAAAAATGCAATGTTCTGAAATATTACATTGCATTTAAGTGTTTTAGGCCACAAAAATGATTTCATTTAAAAATCCTAGTGATTTTAAGATTTTCCTATAACCATGATGAAATTCATGCATTTTAATATTTACATTCTATGATTTACTGATGTAAATTATGGTTGCTTCTTTAGTTTCTACTGGAAAGTTATGAAATGTTTTTCCTGACTCAAATGTATGTTGATGTTATAATATGGACAAAGGATATATTACAAAAGGGCCATTTAGAAATTCATTTTTTATTTTTTTCAACAAAAGCAATTTCAGTCTTGTTTGGTTTGGCTTTCCTATGAAGTAGTTCTTTGAGTAAACCATGAAATCCTTTATATTATACTGTATTAAAATTATTATCTGAAATTTAAAACAATTATGTGACACCATGTGAGTATACTCTGTTAACCAGAATTGTAATATATTTAACATTAATGACCTAATTTGAAAGTTACAGGTATTAAATATATTTAATAGTATTATATGTTAATAATATAAATGTTTCCATGTATATCATGTATATACATATATATTTATAAAATTAATATTTGAGGAGTCATATAGGGTTCATTCTCTGTGTCCTGTTTTGTTTTATAGCTACAAGAAACTGGCTAAGAATAAAGAAACTGAATTTGTTAACCCTTTACCCCTTAAGATGAATCCAAATATTATGTCTCAAGAAACAAAATGTGAATCAACTTCTGGACAAGAATGAGCATATAGTTTTACAAAAGTCAACAAATGAAGGTACAGAAAATAACTGTCCAAGAGTAAATACTGTGGAAGAACAAATAGATAAAATGTACCTTGATATTTTGAAGAAAACAGTATCTGTTGGTCCTTGATTATTACCCCAGGATGACAAAATACATAAGGTAAGTGTTTATAGTTTATATTGATTGGACATAGTGATCAATGAATTTACATAAATACTGCTGACATGTATGTACTTCGTGAGCCAGCGGGAATGATTACAGAGTAATCCCCACATGGATATTGGGTATCTGTGAGCAGTTATCTATTACAACACCCTGTCATCCCCAGATTGTAAAATGTCACTGTAGCATTAGCTTTCTTTTAGAAGCCATTTTTTACATTTTAAATTTTTTAAACAAACAGTCCAGAATTTGAGTAGCATAAGAAAATTAAGTTTATTCTGGTGCTTTTTATTCAATCTTATCAGTAGTCTGTACTGTGCAAAAGGAGGTTAGTTGGCATTTCACATAAATGCTGTTAGCGACTGTTGAGAAACTTATACATCTCTGTTCCTTGTTTCTGTGTTCTTGATTTATTCTGTTTTATAGACTCATGACCACAGTATTCCATTTTTATTTTATGATTTTTACTTATATGTTTGCCATATACTAGCCATAAACTATCTCCAGTTCCTTGTGGAATAAGGCAGGGTACTAAGCAGTTTTTACCTTGAGAAATCTGGAGGAAAAAAGATAAGATTTTAAGTCATTTCAGCTGTGTTCTTCCCCACTCTCCTCCATGTTCACTCTTGTAATTACATGTTTTCCTTTCTGGCAAGCCTGCTTTGTTTTATTATTTTGCTATTTTTGTTCCTGACTTTGAAGATGTGCTTCAGAATACTAAAATTCTGATGAATTAGGCTTGGAGAACTTGAATGTCGTGGCTCACTTTCTACAAACTGTGTTCTTCAGTAAGCACTATGGTTTTGTGATCTGTTAAATTGTATTTACAACTGTCACTGATGTTTGTTTAAGTACTGAAGAATTTGTACTTGTGCACAGACTTTTAGATCTCAGCTGAGTTCTGGAGAAGCAGGAGCTGGGACTGGTACACAGCTACCACACAGGAAGGCCAGAAGTGCCCATCCTTTATTTAGAGAAAATGCCAGAGTGGATTATATGCATCAGTTAGGAGCTCAGGCTAAGGCAAACCCAGTTCACCATTCAAGACATTTTCTACTCTTGAAAACTTCAAAGGACTTAATGAAAAACAAAAACTTGAGATCCATCTCTGCCTCAAATCAAGCCAGGAAAAAAGATAATTGTACACACTTTTCATAATAAAATTCAGTACATTTTCCTTATTCTCTACTTTCCCTGTTCCCTTCTCACTTTCTAAGAACTTTCCTTATTTGTAGAAAAAATTTAATCTTAAGGTGCTACATTCCGTCTCTGAAAGACAGATTCAGTTCATTTCAGTTAGGGGGTTTGTCATCATTAATTCTAGGTTTTCCTGAATGAGACCCAGAAAGTTTGGTAGCTGAATATAAGATGGGAGAGTCAAACCCCTCCTCAGCTGGTTGGCTTTGTAATATCCAAAATGTTTGCCAGAAAAGAGCTATAAATGTAGAATGCAAAGGGCAATGTACAAATGAAGGTGGATACAGAGAGAAATATCTGGATAAGAGTTTGATCTAGTGATGGGG